TCATTTTGTGTTTAAATGCTAAAAAAAACATATTTAGGTGTAATTTTTTGGGGCAAGGAACCAATTAATTGGTTTTCCATTATTTCTTATGGGGAAAATTCGATCACAACTCGAATTTTTTAGGATTCGATCCGGAGTTCTGAACGGATTAAATTCGAGTTCTGAGGTACCACTGTACATTCTAATTAATTTCTATGTAGATGCATTATATTAAACTAACTGCACACTGGTTTATTCTTTGTTTCCACGGTAACTGTGATTCCAGGATATTCTTTCAGAAGAGCTGAATATTGATCATGTCACAACCTGAAGAGAGCACAGAGGTCAAGAGTTTAATGTGGTTGATATCGTTGTTAGGGTACTTCAGATCCACTTGATGTGGTTTTCATACACAAAACAAGATAAGGAGAACATGCAAACTGCATGCACACACAGAGCAGAGGCAGGATTCCAGCACCCAATCCTGGAGGTGTGAGTCTACAGGGCTACACTCTGAGCCACCACAATAAAATAAAACCACTGTTTCATAAATGAAAAAACTGCAGTATAAAACTGTAAAACTCCCATGGAGTGTATAGTAAGATTTTATCCACTAAATGGAATTCAACATCAAGCTCACATCATAGTCTTGAGCCTTGAAGAGGCATTAGACATTTACTGGACTGACATGATTCTTCAAAATGGATAGAATCTCTGTCACAAAGTTTTAAGCTTTGTAAGTTTGATATGAAAGACTTAGCCTTTGAATTTAGCATACAGAAAACATAAGACATATTTATGAAACTTCAAAAGCTGTCAATAATACTGATTATAAAAACTTACTGAATCTTAAAAATCTGGAAAAAAGTAAAAAAAAAATCTCTACAGAATATTGTGATATCAATATCATAAGTAACAAATAAATGCTTTTGCACAATACTCTGCTTACCAGCAAGAAGCTACTCCAAATTAATCCCATCACAATTGTCCTTGAGGTCTGCTTGTCTGTGTGGAAAATAATTACATTTTAACATTATCTTTCTGTTCCTTTTATGAGTTTACTTTAATTATGATTATATACTATATAACATCCATTCATCCGTTGTCCAAAGGATAAAGCATATGGTTGTGGGGAGTCGTGACAGCAGAGTGCACCGCGTAGACCAGGGGTGGAGGGCCAGTGTGGGTGCAGGTTTTTGGGATAGCCTCTCATTCAGTCAACAATAAAAATGTGGTTCTCAACTCCAGTCCTGGGGACCCTCTGTTATTGGCTGATTGAGAGGCCATCCCAAAAACCTGCACCCACACCGGCCCTCCATGGAACAGGTTCCCCATCCCTGGTGTAGAGGAAAATCGCCTACAGGGTATAGATTCACCACATGGGATACTCACGTACACAAGTCTATCACAGGGGACACACCCATACACAAGTCCCTCAATAGGGTAAATGCACACATACATCTGTCCATCACAGGGGGGACACACATTTATTATCTTGTAGCTTGATTCAATGGTAAGAAATTAATCGTTTTTGTGGTATTTCATAAACAGTCATATCATTTAGTCAAAAGAAGTTCGTGACAGCCATAATTTTTCTTCTTTGGATGCTCACAATCACCACTTGTCCCTTCCATGAAAATAATCTGCAGTATACTCTGTGTACTGTGCAGACTGTCCTGCCAAAACTGCAGATAACTTTAGCATTCGTGCATTTATAGATGTCCTGACTGAGGACCGGATTGACTGTTTGTCTGTTATGAATACTCAGCTATTTCTGATGTGACCATAAGGCCTGTCTCCAGTTTAGTGCATTGGGGCCAGTGTCTCTTATATTACAGCTGAACTAGGTCCATTTTTCAGCGAAGAACTCTCCACCTTGGTTTCTACAATGCAAATCTAATTACAGTAAAACTGGTCTAAGTTGCTGGCTTGTACTGTAACTCGTGCACAAGTCAACGCTCAAGCAAAAGTCCCGATCTTTCCTAATGATGTTTCCTTTAAAATTCCTTGTGTAAATTGCCGCTTGTAAGTTGTCAAATTCCCTTAGTCGTCACCTAAATCCCGAACAACACAAATGAATGGTTTTTCCTACCTGTAAGTCGACACCCCAATCGCTGCATTCCCGCCGCCTGCTTCACACCGCCTGCTTGTCACCATGGCAATGTAGAAAAGGGGAATCCCCACCTATCGCACTAGTCGCTCCCTGGATGCCGAGGCCGTGATGAGTAGAGGTATGGTGTTATATTTACTAGTCATCAAAATGGCGAGATAGACATAAGTCGGCGAAGTGACGACTTTATAATTCGGCAAAACGGCGAGTTATATTTACTAGTCGACAAAACGGCGAGTTATATTTACTAGTCGACAAAACGGTGAGATAGACATAAGTCGCCAAAGTGTCGACTTAGGTGTATCTCGTCAATTCTCTAAGTCGTCACTTTTAAGCTGGTCCCGCGAGTGTCGACTTAGACCGGTTTTACTGTATGTATAAGTCTCAGCTACTTGAGGTATTAAAGAGGAGATTCATTTTGATGGAAAACTGCTCAAAGAAAATGTCAGATATTTCTCATCCCTTACCAGTTCTCTAAAAAGGGGATATATGCTATAATAGACTAGACTTTCTAAACTGTTGGTCAGAAACTTGCATCAAAAAGCATACCCTTTATTAACAACAGGAATGATTTTTTTCTGGAAAGGCCCAGTTATTGAAAGACTGATTTTACCTGAAAAGCTGGGGGCTTGCCATCATCTATAATCTTAGTATATAGACTCTCAATGTTTGACTAATGCTTCTTTCAGACTTAACTATTAATTTATATAAAATCATAATATTATGTGATTTTACACAATCAAGTATCTCATAGAGACAACATAACGCAGTAATGTTTTTGAACATCAGGGAAAAACTAGAGAATTCAGAGAAATCGGCGCCAGCACAAGGAGAACCTGAAAACTCACGACACTCATGACAATAATATATCTCATATCTTATAAAATACAAAAGTGACTTAAGTAGCATAGCTCTGTAGTACTAGGCCAAAATTACACTTTCAAATCACTCTGACAGTACTGGGACATTTATATTCCAACTTATAGAAGTAGGCAGAATACCTCTGGCTCCTTCCCAGATCACTATAATATACTGTATGACTGAGTCATTTTAGTCCCATTTTTTAAATGGGTTTTTATTGTAAGACTTATTTCAACTTTGTTTTTTTTCTTTTTGGTTTCTACTAAGTTCAGATTTATTAGTTTTTGACCAGTTTCACTTCAGGTCATATTTTTACTGAGCTTCGTATTGTAGCTTTAATTTAGCTTCACTGTGATCCTTAGGTCGCTGGTTCGAATCCGGCTTGAAGGAGGGTTAACCTTTAAGGGGCAGCATGTGGCTCAGTGGGCTAAGCCGTGCGCATGTAATCACAAGGTTGCCAGTTCAAGCCCAGCCTCAGCACGTCTGCGGGTCCTTGAGCAAGACCCTCAACCCCCAGCTCCCTGGGTGCCGCTACAGGTGGCTGCCCTTCGCAGACAGCTTGCTCTACAAAGAGCAAGTTGAGGGAGGTGTAAAAAGAATTTCCCCATGGGGATTAATAAAAGTGTCTATTATTATTATTTTAAAAGCTCCTAGCAGATTTCACATGGGGGGTGGTTGGTGTTGGAGATCGATTGCTTGGTTTGGATTACATCATATTTTGCTCTGGGTGACTATTGAGTACCCCTGTCATACAGCAAACCCATAAAAATATATATTTTTCAAACTCAATTCACAATTGTGTTGTTGCAGTGTTCATCTATTCAAGGAGGAGACTTAACTCTAGCAGCGGCGGGCAGTATACCCCAGTATGGGGTTACTGATAGATACTCTTTACAGATAGGTGTATATTAACTCTTATGGATGCCGATGATGAAACTTGATGAGCTTACCGACCTTACAACGTTTTTTTATTCTGTGGAAAACTAAAGATCAATCTGTCAGCCAGATTTAAAATTTAACTTATTAATTATACATGTGGCAGGGTGGTATTTGTAATCTCTTCTAAATCTCTTGTCCTACATTAAGAAAAATGCCTGATCGTCCAATGCAATCATCTCCACTGTTTTTGTAGTAACGACTTTAACTCTGGTTGTGCAAACTTTGAATATTGATGAAGTTTAAATATCGGCCAAGACTGACACATGGGTCTGATACTGATTTTTTAACTGATATGTTGTGCATCTCTAAGCTTTTGCCATTTGCAGTGGTATCTCCTATCTCTCATCTAATCTCTTGACCTGAAACATGTTTGAATCTATGGAGGGCATGTAATTTTGTCTATTTGAGATGCTTATCGTAGGCTATGTTTACCACCAATTATTTTGAGGAGGGACATCTGGTAGCCTATAAGCAGGCTTTTAAACTCAGAAATAGAAATTAAAAACATTTTTAGTATTTGTTAACAGTAATAACCTTGGTATGGTAAAAAAACATGGTAGCGGAGGTACCACACAGCAGGGGAAAGAGTATGACAGAAATTTAGACTGATGGGCTTACTGCTTTTTCAAGGCCTTCAAAGCCTGCCGAGCCTCATAAGCTTCTCTTTCAGCAGAAACCTTTCTGTAGCAGTAGATTAGGACTACAATCAGCCAAAGCTGCAGGCCGACAATCAGCACATACATCATGATCTCTCCGATCACTGCAGTCTTCTCCCTCTTAGCTATAGGCAGAAAAAAAGACTTTGAATAAAGTTAATTACATTCTAACAAGAGTTAAAATTGCAATGCATGTATCGTCTTTTGCTAACAGTGCTACAGCAAAAAGATAGAAATGCAAGTAAATGAAAGATTGATAGAAAAAAAGAGTAAAAATTTAGATAGACAGAAAGGGAAGTCTTACCTTTTGGCAATACAGTAAATTCTATGTATTTGGTAATTCTGAAAGATTCGTCACCCACTGGGAGGTGGAGAATGCGGTCAAAGGTGCAGCGATAAGTACCAGTGTCATTGAAGGTGACATTGTGGAGGTATAGACTGGCAACCAGAGTATCACTTGTCTTCACAGGGGCAAACCATTCAAGGCGATACTTAAAGTGGTCACTGGTGATGGTGGCGGTGGGAAAATCATAATGCAATATCTGAAAACAGAAGAACATCAAACCCCGTGCACAAGTTAATAAAACAAAGCATCTGGAACAATGGTTTAGTTCAATAATGGATAAATAAAACATTGACATCGATATTGTTTTCCTCTTTTATTCCTAAACTGCTACACATCAGAAATAACACTAACGTGAATTTTTAAAATATACAGCAGACAGATAGTGATCATGTTTATGAACACTTTCCTTTTTGAATTATTTTTAATTTCATAGTTTTATTATGACTACTGATCAAGGTTTTATATGTTGATAAAAGGGATTATATTGGGTCATATTGGGTGGGCGTCATAGGAAATTGACTTAGAAATCATGACCCTAACAATTTTTACAATAAACCGGCGTCCTTATCAAGATAAATATATGAATTATTCATTCACACAGAAACTCACATTCATATAAATCTTTGAAAGTGCTCTTTAAACTGTTCTCTGGGTTTGACAGGCAAACGGCTGCAGATCACACGGACTATACAGGCCTCATCTATTAAAATATTTGTTTTAAAACAAATTTTACACTTGGAAAAGAAAATATTTTTCCTTGAATATCAGTTCATCCAATCTTCAGTTTCAAATTATATATATACAGTGGGACCTCGGTTCTCAAACTCACTAGAACTCGAATTTCTTGAAAGTCGAACAAACCAGTTTGACCTAGAACTCGATCTGAATATCAGAAGTCGAACCGTGAACGCTGACCTAATATAAATTGTACGCGCCAGGAAATGAGTCATACTACAATGCAATTCTT